TTTAACATTGTTGCGGACTTTCAAAATACCGCCCTTCGAATATGCCTAATATGAGATTACCGGGTCAGTGTAAAATGATTTTTAAGGTTTAATAATTCATTTGCCGAATTAAACCTATTTTTCGTTATTATTAGAAACAGTACACACAGAGTTTAATAGCAATGATTTATAATTATTTAGTCATAAAAGTCGATTTTCACTCTTTTAATATTTGTTAATTAATTTTTCTGCTTTGTATTGTTAAGAAGAAAGTATTTAACCATTCAATGTTCGTTAATAAATACGAGATTTTAAGTATCTGTAATGTAAAATGTTTACATGTACATAAGTCAGAGCTTAGCGTAAACGTACATGTGCAGTTGTAGCAGATTCATATTCTCATGACACAGTTTATATGTATTAATGCAGATCGCGATTATTTTAATAATTATTTAGATTTCTATTCAGAAAATTTAATTTTCTTGAACTGTTTCGTTCTTGATAGATCTATCATGTTAAATTTATTAATTTTGTTAAAGCCGTTTTCTTTAATCCTTTCTTTCGGTCAGTCTTCTACTTGTATTATTTTCAAAGATATTAATATTTAATTGCAATTTTTGAATACATCGCAGATTGTAAGCTTTAGACATTAAATACAAATTTTTAATTCATTGCGTAAATTTCTTCCGTGAAATAACTTGGTACTTGTAGATAAATTTATTAGATAGAAAATTAAAATGTATATTTTTCATAAATAATAAATCTGTTTATAGAGTTTCAAAATTCACGCACTTGAGAAGAAATTAAAGAAATAATACAGTCTCCATTTCATAAAAATCCATTTAATCACTGTCAATTTTTCATATATATAAATAAACAACTTTTGTAAAATTAATACAGAGATCTCATGTTCTTTTTATAATAATTAAATGTACTTTATAGTTTAGATTTGAAGCTCTGCGAGTATTTAAATTAAAATATAATTTAATTAAAATAATCTTTAATCTTTAGATTTAATTCAAAATAATCTTTTCGTCTTCTCAAAAAACGTTTCGCATTTTGAAACAATCCTATCAGGTTTTGCGTTTATCCAATCGTGTAGATCGTTTATCAGGTCTATCGTGTTTTGCGTTTATCGTGTTTTGTGTGTATCGTGTTTTGCATTTATCGTGTTTTGCATTTATCCTATCGTGCGTGTATCCTGTCCTATCGTGCGTGTATCCTATCGTATCGTGCGTGTATCCTATCGTATCGTGCGTGTATCCTATCGTATCGTGTATCCTGTAAAGAATAACGATGCGGGTACTGTATCACTGCACCTCGCCGTTTTCTATATTTGAATTATACAGCAATTTAGAGGATTCAAATTAACAGCTCGCTATATAAACTTTATTTTATATTAACAATCAGAACATAGTTCTACACAAATATCTTTTCAGGGTTAAGATATACTGTTAAGAAAATGAACAACATGAGTAAAGCAGCAGGTAAAAATTGGAAATAAATAAATAAAATTCATCGGAAAATGATAAGTTTTTACATACTTATATAACAGTATCTAAATTGAAGCGACATCCATCGTCGAGTAAACTGGCACAGGACATTAAATCAGACGAACAGAAGATAAAAATAAAATTAATAATAAAAAAAAAAGTCAATGTCATTTTCCAATTATGATTCCTTTCTTTGAAGACTAAAGTCATATGATATAATTTATCAATTTTAAAGAGAAAAAAGAGAAGAAGAAAATGGTTTCTATATATTTTATGTTCAAAAAGATACTAAGCTAATTGATATTTTATATATATTGTTCTTTTTTTTAAAGATCCGTGAAGTCAATAACTTGATGTAATTAACTCTAAAAGTTAACTTGGGATGGATACAATTTTAAGTATGCATATTGTCATGATCCATGAAGTTTCAGGATATTGTCACAAATTCATAACATTTATTTTAAAAATTTTAAGGATATCTCCTTGACTAATTGTTTTTGGATTGACACCACAAAATGCGTTTAGTCTATATTATGAAGTTGAATGCTCAAAGATGAGGGAGAGGACATTTATTTTAAGCATACTTCTTTGTCTCTCGATACTGTTCTGATTTGGCAACCTACAAGTTACCATTCTTTTTTTTGTCTAAACTCCAATCAAAACAAAGCATGGAAACTAATAATCTACCTAAAACTCTGCTTTATTTATCGGGTTTTTCATCGATAAGTGACAGTACATGCAATGACAATTTTTTAAGACGCTAATTTAATTTGTTGAGAACGAGCAATGTTGGATATTCAAATAATTTTGAATATGCAAATTTGCAATGTTGAAACCCATCTGGCTTGAAATTTATTTTCTCCATCAAACCGCTGCAAAATACAGAGTAAATATAACAGGTTAAAATAACGAACAGTGATCGATCTAAAAAATATATGAATACCATTACGCAATGCTAAACATGTTAGATCTAAGAGGGCATGAACTTCAGTCCCCAAGAAAATTCTTAAGGTGAGATCAAGTGCCTGTCTAGGAGATGTACATGTAGCAATTGAAAAGTAACTGAATTTTTCTTGATATTGGAAACGTATTTCAAAAAGACACGATTTTTTGAAGCTGGAAGCTTTTATTAAAGGGATATTATTGCCTTTGTAGAAAAAAAAATATTTCGTAATTAACAGTATATATTAAGGCAGCGAAACATTTCAAGTCAGCGTTACAAGGATTTCTTCCCGAGTGTGATTCACTCCGAAGGAGTCAGCCTCGATTTAATATATACCCAACACACTTTTTTTCTGCTCTCAGTTAAATTTTGTGTCAGCGAGGTCTTTGAGCCGGAGGAGAAACATTTTATAAAAGAAAAGGTTATAAAGGATTGTTTTTTCTTTTATTTTCTAAACTTTGAAAAATGTATTACTTTCATATGCCTTTGCGAGTGATAAGAAACATCATATTTTCTTCAGGCAGAGGTTATCTTGGTCTCCAAGAAGTTCAATATGTTTTATTTTGGAATTATGAATAGTACTAACATGTAGCTATAACTGTAAAGGAAGTAATTGTATTTAAAAGCTATAAAAAATAAAATATTAATCATCTAATTTGTTATTTACTCTCTTATGTGTATGATTTAACTCAGAAAACATTTCGGGCATAAATTGCGTCACACCTCCTTTGTAAATCCCTCACCGCGTAGCCTGAGTTCCAAAGAGGAAGTGTTTATCCGTATTGAAAAGAAGTGTTCATGTGGAGTGGAATAAAAGCTAAACCCATTTCCCATCCATGCTGTAGGTTCATATATATTAAAAAATTCTTGCAGAAACAGTTAGTAAAAGACTTCTCATTAGCATTTTATATAAAACTAACGCATGGATGGAGAAGAACATGAAGTTGACAAAGATGATTCATGAATCAAAATAACAAACAAATAAGCGGAAGAAAATTTCTGTTACAGGCACGTGGGTCAAATTTTTGGAAACTATTTTTTGTTTCATGAAGATATTATCAAAGTGTTTCTACAGTAAACTTCAATATAAAGCACATATTATTGGTGTCCTTTTTTGACAACTAAATTAACTAGGAACCACTCAATCTTGTATTTTAAATAACATGTAACAATGTGTTCAAAATACATTTGATCTATAAATTTACAACCATACATTACCAATCAAAATATGACTTATTTTGCAGTGAAAAAATCTCGTCTATTTATCATTAGTGAAATGTTTTCATCATAAAATTCTTTTTCTTTTGTACAAATAGTAAGCTATATGTAGATAAAAGTTGTTTAATAAATAAAAGGCAAATTTAGCTGTTCTGAAGTGTAGAATATGCGTGAACTGAATTCCCCATTATCTCACTTCCAAAAGATGCAAATGTAAACATATACACATTATCTCCATCCCTTGTGTCTGTATTATCGAAATCGTTTCCCAGAACATCGGGTGTCTTTTTCTCCGAATTTCTCTCTCCGCAATTTCCAATTTGCTTGTCAGTTGTATGCAAGTCCTCCATGAAAGGTTGTCCATCTGCCTTTGTTAGAATTTGTGCAGGTAAACCTGAAGGACATTTGACATCCATATTGTGCATATCATTTTCCACAAGGACAGCAGCTGCAGCATTTGTTTGACTTGGAGTATTTTTGTTCTTTAGATGGAGAATTAGAATTCGTGTTAAAATCAAAAATAAAAATATCAGAAATGTTATCGCTATTATTATTATCGTTATTATGGATATTGATCCCATGACACTTATTCCAGAGTAAGATGACAATTTCTTCACCTTTAAATTGGTTGCATTCTCTGCAAAGAAAATTTAAATTAAATGAGAAATAAATAAGTTAAACTGCATAAATTTTATTTTGATTCAAAATTTCAAAATAATGTCCTATAAAGTCAATAGAAGTTGCATATAAAAGGTTGGTTGCAGTAAGATGTAACTTTTATAGAAAGTTTAATTTCTATGTACTTTTTTTTTTGAAAATTGATATTTACATCATTTACGACTTTACGACCAAAACGGCAAAATATACCAATTCAGATACTTATCCACTATTTAATATAAATATTCTCATATTTATATATTGTGTCTGCTTAAATTATATGTCATTGTGATTGAAACAAATAATTTAACGTCGCATAGGTGGCAACACAAAAAAAACTATTTTACAGACTTTTTATTCATCGAAGGAGGATAGGATAAGATGTTCTGGTGTTAGAGGATTCTGGAATGCAGTGAGGAATCTGATGGGTAACTGTCAAAATACTTATTGCATTAATATAAATATTATTTTGATATTTTCTTAAATGCAAATCAGTTATTTGATATATTAAAATCTTAGAATAACATGAAACCTCAGATTTATCGGTTTATTGATATTGTCAAAATCAAATTTTATGTTATTTGAAGCAGGGATTTTTAATTTTGAATAATTCTGTGCATGCATGTACAGCGTATAGTTCGCACATACTAGCTTGTTCAAGTGTTGCATTTTTCCCTATGTGATGGCTGAAAATCGTCGCAAAATAAGGTAGAACAAAATGTGCTTCATAAATTAACCGCTTTAATGATTATTGTAGATAAAATACCTCTTTTAAATGAAAAGCTGGAGGCATTAGCTGATGTTGATACTTTATCCGTATCCTGCCATTCAAGAATGTTGTACAAGTTGACCCCATTGGTGAAGAGTAGAAGATTTCCCAACATCTGGTTCATGTTCTTGTATGCACACATCCACTGTCTATTTGCGATGCATTTCTCAATCGACTTGTATTTATTCAACAAATTTGTTGCCTCATCTTCGTCAATAAGTGACTACATTGTAAAAATATTTTACTGTTCAATTATCAAAACTAGTTTCACGCATTGATTTCATACTTGGGTGTAACTGAGAAAAAATCATTTCAGAAGAGCTTTTTCTCCAACTCATTTATTTGGCATTTATCATTTTATGCATTTATTTATTTGGTTTAGTGAGCTAGACCACAAGGGAGAACAATAAAATGATCTCACGCTGGCTAATGAATAGCTGGCATAACTCTGAGCTGTCTTCGCTGGATGAATAAAAGGTGCCCCAAGTGTCACGCCAACAAAGGAACAACTCACTCTTCCTTCCGATATTGCCTGTAAAATATATAAAATCAATCGTTATACATGTACCTTAAAAATATGTTCCTATACGAATCTATACGAAATAAGTCCAACATTTCTAAGGTTTTACTGAGGGGGCATATTGAATCGATGTTTGATCGCCGAGTGAGTTATGATGTTGGACCTGTCGATCAGATATTGGACCGCTTATGTCACAGAATAGGTGTGAGAGCTTAATCTCATTTTTGGTGTTCAACAATGACGGACCTGAAGTCACATCACGAAACACATTACAAGTTAATGTTGTGTGCAAAAAATTAAAGGTTTAACAAAACATCTATTGACTGTGTCCTCTGGCAAAATGCGTTTTGTCGACCCTCGAATCAAACAGTTTTGTTCTTGGGTTCGACAAAACGCATGTTGCCTTCGAACCCAGTCAATAAATGTATATTATTAAACAATGACGTTAAAGGGGACATATTAAAGCGCCTAGAAGTGTGTGTATTTGGGTGGATGTGTGTGTGCTTAACGTTAACGTACGGACCGCAGTGGTACTTGTATTCATCCGCTTTGCAGTGGTCTTGATCTAAACCATTTTATATGATGCAAAAAGATTGTTTTCATACGTCTGTGTAAATGCCTCTGATATCATTTATTATATTTGCATGATATAGCATCTCTAGAACAATTAAACTCGTCTTCTCAAGAAATGAATAATGCGAGCTTTATTCTAAGCATGTTAAATATTTTTTTAAAAATCTGACAGTTTTCTTAGGGAGTAAAGAGTAAAAACCTTTATTGATTTTGTGCAAATTGATAAATTATCTTCATTAAACTCACTAGATAGTTTATAAATCTATATTTCTACGCATCGTAGCAAAATTGTGTGAAATACTTGTATAACTAAATCACCTGAATTAGTAGATCTGCAATAACAGTAGTCATTTTCCCTCCATAGGACTCAGTCATAATGTAAAACGGTGCTTTCTAGAATAATAATGCATATATAAAGTCTCTTTTTTAAACATAGTTTATGAATATTTTACATGTATATTCATAGTATGGTAAAAGAATTATGTCTGTAGTATTATTTAAAAATTGTGATACGACAGACATTAAGAACCACATACCTGAAATGGCTTTCCGTTCGTACTTTTAAAGAATATTCCAAGAAAGGTAATAATATCAGATGCAATCATGTCTGTGCTTGTGCAATACAAAGAATCAGACTCAACGTAGCTATATCCAGATCCGGCTGGGCTGTCCACGAACAGAATACTGGCCTCTGAAAGCTATCATCACTATCATCATCAACAACAGCAAAACAACATCATCACTGTCATCATCATCAACAACACCAACATAATTATCATCATCATTTATCATCATCATCATCATAAACATAATCATAATCATTTTCATCGTTATCATCATCATCATCATTAACAGCATCATCATCATCATAAACATCATAATTTTCATCGTAACATCAACAACATCATCATCATCATCAATTTCCTCATCATACTCTTATTCTTAACTTAGAGATCACCGACAAGTTTTTTTAAATCATTGTACAAGTATTAAAAAAAAACAGATAAAATTAGACTGTACTACTGTAAAAAATACAAATTGTTTGTAGAAATGGGGTTACTTCTCTTTGTTTTCGTGTTTAAAGCGATTCAAAATTTAATATACTCCACAAAATTTTTGAAATACGGTGAAATCACAAATATTCGTCGGAGTTAATTTTCGAGGTATGAAGAGACCACGAATTCTTGTCCACCACGAAATGGAAATATAGACTACATAACTACTCAACAATTCTTCATCCACGAATTCAAATTCCCACGAACCAAGAGTTTTTACTCAGACCACGAAAAATTAACATCACGGAAATATGTGATTTCACAGTATCGCAATATTCTTTGATCGTTATCTACCAACCACGAAAACAAAATGATTTTAAAATGTCTATTTGTATTTAGTTAAAGGTAGGAAGCAATACAGGCACATGTACTTAAAAATCAACAATATATTAAAAAGGAAATCAAAGACACAGTTGAAAAACTTGAGTTACCCATGTGGTGCTCCTTTTATTCAATGACACATCCAATGGACCAATCTCCTGGAAATTCCCCATGCCAGTAGACGATTGACCTGGTCCTCCCTTCAATTCATTAAATACGTATGATAGAATGGCTTTATTTTTTTCTTGAAATAAAATTCACCAAAAAATATTGAATACGCTAAATTATGTACAAGTACAGTATTAGAATTGGTGGGCCAAAGACCACATGGCAAAGAACTTGATGGAAAGGAAATGAGAGACCACCAGCTAACTTGGGGAGAACTGGAGAGAGATGCTCAAGATAGAGAGAAGAGGAGAAGTTTTGTTCTTCAACTAATTTACATGAAAGTATAATGTATGCATATATCGTTTATACCTGAAGCCACATGATGAGAGGGACTTCATCGATTCCGCTTGGTGAAACTGTGTGATACAGCCAATAAAAAAGGTGGGCCCCGGGACGAACTGTGACGTAGTCCCATTTCTCTGTACCAATCTCTGCCGTTACTGTAAAAAAGAAATACAGGAATATTATTATGCATGCTTAAGAAAACATAATGTGGTTCCTTTTCTTTTCCTTGCATCTCAAAGCCGATTGTATCATGAACAGCATTAAAAGGCAGGTTTGCTATTCTTTGTATAGTTAAATTAAACAGTGAAAAAGTAACATTACCAGCAGATATTAGAAGCACTGGCAACAGAGGAAGAGAAATCATCATGTCACCGATGTACAGGCTCGAGAATGTTCAGAAACAATATTTCAATATGCTTATATACATATTGATCACATAATTCTTTATTTATTTATATAATATGTATAATACACTCCATAGTTGTTATCAATAAAAGTCCTTGTCATTTGATACCTAGATTTTAAATAAATAATAAATAATGCATAAATAATAATATACATTTAAGTGGTTCTCTTGACCCACTTGGCACACAAGGACCTTTCTTGCAGTCTGCTTGTAACAATATAGAAACTGTTCCATATCCGAAAACAATTTTTTGAAATCAAAAACTTCCTCCGGACACATATGCTTTGGTGTACTCTGCTTTATTTGTGATAAGTGAAAAAATAGACAATCTGGAAATGTTACGTAATTATGCTTCCTTTAAGTTTTAAGAGAATACCTCTAGTGTAAACAATAAGTTATTATTGTAAATAATGACCTTTATGTGACATGTTCTTGTATATTTCTTTATATTAAGTTATTGTATAACAATGTCTCTTTTGTAATAGACTTATACAATGTGTCAACCGGGTTTTAATTATGTAACTTGATTTACCTCTTTCCTTACTATTTTCAACCAATCAGCAGAGCGCTTTGTTATCACGTGTTCATTGTTTATCTTTTCACCAGAAGGGAAAGTCCCGACATTTGCACTGCTCAATTTTTCGTACCCACCATCCATCCCCTTCTTCCACCGCTGTGTTTTATTTTCTTTTACCCACCTTTTTTGATAGCAGACAGCAATGTAGCACATTTATTTTCATGTATGTTTAGAATTTTTTTTGTTTAGTAGGGGGTCAACTGAAGATATATACATGTATACTATACATGGCAATGTTTTGTTTTTTTTCCATGTTTTGATTCCTTAATTAGTCTGCTGGTTGATCCCCCTTTTTTCTATGTATATCATTTACAATGACATTATGGTGCTGGGGGTCAGATTGTGCAATATTGTGATAAAGATATGTAATATTTTATATCTAAGTCCCCTTTCCTGACCCCCTTTGTTGTATTGCAAATATGTTTTACTATTTTTACGTCATTTACTTCAATAAATGACATTTTTTCACTTAAATAATGTTGTTTGTTTTTGACTGCTTTAACCAAAAAACGAGCTCAGTTGTCTGGCCTATACATGACAATGTTTTTCCAGGTTTTGGTTTCTTAATTAGTCTGCTGGTTGATCCCCCTTTTTTCTATTGTATATCATTTACAATGACATTATGGTGCTGGGGGTCAGATTGTGCAATATTGTGATAAAGATATGTAATATTTTATATTTAAGTCCCCTTTCCTGACCCCCTTTCTTGTATTGTAAATATGTTTTACTACTTTTACGTCATTTACTTCAATAAATGACATTTTTCACTTCAATGATGTTGTTTGTTTTTGCCTGCTTTAGCCAAAAAACAAGCTCAGTTGTCTGGCAGGAGAACTAAGGAACATAAACAAAAATGTAGTACGAATGACGCTGCCTGCATTATCTAGATATTACAACAAAACAACATATGGGCTTCTTTCCAAAATTTGGAACGATAAACCTCTTACTTAGCAACGTATGGCAACGTATCACTATATTTTAATATCATATCATTTAAAAACAATATACAGCTTTTATGCTGAGCAAAGAAAATCTAAATCTGAATTAAGTTTTCCGTCAAAGCTACACAGGTTTCACCATCGCATCAATAATTATACTTTATATAAATGGAGTAAGAGTACGCACTTGTAGATTTCAATATATTCAAAAGAATGGATAAAATCGGGAAAAGAACAGGAACTGTTGCATTCAGGATGCGTAAAATTTTTGTAAGATTTCTGTTCAGAATAACTTTGTAGTAGACAATGTATTTTCATCATATTTCCGTTTCCTGTTTTTTTATAGTATGCGAAAGCCAGAACAATAGACTGTTTAAAAAGTAATATAACAAACATTATCACCATCTATTCCAGATTATAAACTTACATCAAAACCGTGGACAGATGACTCCACTTTTTTTAGATATGGCCTGTAAAAACAAAAAGACAACAAAAATATATATTTAGGTAATATAAGTTTGAGGTCAAGTTTATAATTAAGTTTTACATTTATATGTGTATACTCAAATTTTTACAGAAAGCTTTAAGTAGTGGGTATTGCTTTTCAGTTTGGTGCAAGTCTCAAGTTTGAAAATTTTCGATATGTTTTTGCTCGAGTTAAATAGGACTGCAAAACGGCATCAGGGGCATTGTTTAAGCTTTTATCATACATCATTATGTATTATGTATTATTTATTATACATTGTTTTTCCCGGCTTTTCCAAAATAAATATATGAATTGCTCAGTGAGATATATGCGAATGTCAGTGTAAGATACTGAAAAAAAAACAATTTTTAACGAAATCATTAACTGTGTTTTAGGGTAAATTGCCTTTTGCCGCACTTTTAAGAAAACTGTATCCACCGACCCAAAAGCTTCAGGCAAGCAGTCCTGTTGTCATATCCAACAAAGCGCATGTTGCCTTTGTATTTCCTATAAATGAGTTTCGCTCCTCAATTGTAATAATTATGTTATTTCTTTACAAAGCTCCTGATCAGTGTGTTAGTATCTGTTAAATAAACACTTACTCAAACGCAACGATTTTCCCCTGAAAAGTAGAATTGGTCATAAAGTTTCTGATTCGCATCTCAGCATTCTGCAAAATAATCAGTTTTAATTACAAAAAAAAAAAAAAAAACACGTACTGGATATAGACCATATATTTACCTGAAAATTTCAAAAAATTATATTCTATGTCATTTTCTGAGACTATCGATTGCTCATCATTTTAAGTAATGTAAGTGGGAGTTTTGAAAATAATCTACCTATTGTTTCTAAAACGAAATATTTGCACTTTTATCTATTTTTGAAACCTGTCCTGGATACATATAACTTACTCCATCAAGTTTAGCAATCAGTGTAGAAATGTTGCTTTCTGGATTCCGGACGTATGCAAACATGACTGTATAGAATTTTATCACCGCCAAATTCTTCTCAAACTCACATTTGGCGTCTCCAAACTGTAGATGTCCAAGTCCATATATTGATTCGGATATTTCTCTTCGAGCTTTCAGAAGAAAACATTTATCAAATAAGTATAAAGTGAGGGTTAATGATTCTCTGAAAAGAGCAATAAAGTAAATACATGTAACAAACCTCTGGTACAAAACGCCCGACACAAACTTTCTCTGTAAATAAGTAAATAACAAACCTCTGGTGCAAGACGCCCGACACAAACTTTCTCTGTAAATAAGTAAATAACAAACCTCTGGTACAAGACGCCCGAAACAAATTTTCTCTGCAAATAGGTAAATAACAAACCTCTGGTGCAAGACGCCCGTCACAAACTTTCTCTGTAAATAAGTAAATAACAAACCTCTGGTACGAGACGCCCGTCACAAACTTTACTCTGTAAATAAGTAAATAACAAACCTCTGGTACGAGACGCCCGACACAAACTTTCTCTGTAAATAAGTAAATAACAAACCTCTGGTACAAGACGCCCGACACAAACTTTCTCTGCGCAAGAAGTATTTAGTCCCGGATTGTCGGGGGTAAGCTGAAAAAAGAAAACTAATAGCATGATTTTTTTTTTGTAAAAGTAGAAAAAATACTGTACCATGTAAATGAGCATTGAAATCTTTTTACCACATTGACTCCAAGATATAAAACTCTCGATCTTTATTAAACAACATATGTAGCTTGTGTTTTCCTTAACATTTTATATTTAAATTATAAGATTTCAAAAACTTTTATTCTGTATCTTTTATTCAGTATCCAAAATGTATTGACTTGTTGGAATAAAGCGTTTGAAAAAAATAGTTATTAGTGTTTTTTTTAAAACATAGTGTTAGTGATCAATATTAGGCTATATTTGATGCAAACCAATTACGGTGAACCATAATTATATTATTCTAAAACATTAACCATTTCAGGGGTGATTTTATAGTGGAGTATTCCATGTGTTTGAACTCCTTTGAATAAAGATCGGACCGCCTCTTTAGAAATCCAGATGTACACCATTTTTGATGATTCATTATGTAGGGTATAACTAACTTTTTCAGTGTTATTTAAACTGTCCATAGACGGAAACCATAGTACGTCACCCTA